TACAATTTATATTTGTAATGGTTCATTTTGATTTAATAAATAAACGACACCAACCTGATTGAGGGAAAAAAAAATAATATAAAAAAGATTTGAAAGAGATATGTGAGATTTGATATATAATTCTTTATTAAAAGATTTTGTATTCAAAGATTAGGGCTTTTTAAAAATTCCTTTGATAGATAAATTCTTTATTAACTTTTATAAATAATTAGAATATTGTTTAACCAGCTTTAAACATAGATAATAAAATGAGTTGTTTTTTCTATACCAATTACAATATATTGTTGTTTAGCAACTCAATAGTAATTAGCATCACAAGAATTGTCCTCCTTATATGATTATATATATATTTGCATATTAAAATATTTATGCCAATTAATTTATAAAAATATAAGAAAATTTATTAACAAAAATTTATTAAATTAAAAAAAAAACTCTTTTCCATAATATTTCCATCCATAGAAAATTGCTTTTTTAGGAAGCTTCTTTCTTCCAAGGAACTTTGTTTAGTTCTTTAGAAAGGGGACATAAATCAGAGGACTGATTTAAAGCAGTAGGGATTTCAAGAATAAGATTGGTCTTGAAGTTTTAGAAATGGCCTGTGCTAAGAAGTCTAGTGATTGATAACAGTACTGGGCAATAACTTGGAACAGAGAAGATGAATAAAAAGAAAATTTTCTATGTGAAGGTCATCTCTATACATAACTGCCATAAAACAATCACATCTTTTATTCTTAACTCAAAAACAATCTTATTCTCAAGAGGCAATATTTTATTTTTTAGAGTTTTTTTTGTTTTCTACTAATAATAACTAGTACTAGATTTTACATAATCTTCTGACTAGTTATCAATTCTTGTTTACAAATTTCAATACAAAAACTGCAACCAGCTTACCCCTATCAAATAATCTATAACATATAAAACACAAATCATATTTCATATTACTTTTATATATCAAAACAACATAACAACTTATTAGATTAGGAGAACACATGATTAGTGTCCTGCACAGGTTCTGATAATCACAATATATAACACCTCATCAAAACAATACAATAGACATCTGAAACATATTTCAGTTATCCTATTATTTATATTACAATATGATCAAATCATATAACAACAACACCACAAAACATTACATGACCAAATCCATCAAGTTACATGTAGCTTATGTGATATTGACACTTGACTGAAACACCTAATTGCATTTAGAAACTATATTTAACAAAAGTTTCAATTTTTTCTTTTTTTTTTTTTTCATTCAAATGTTTTACAATACTAGTGATCTTGCTTCAAATGTTTTTTTTATTTTTCATAACAAATAATTCCTTAGGTTTTTTTTGCTTAAGGGTTTTCAAATAATATATTTGTTTATAGGTGATAGGCTAATATCTATAGCGATATAATTCATATATTAATATTAATCATATAACAAGTTAAACTTTTACTTTATTAATAAAGATCATGAGTAATGTCTCACTCTAACATCAAAAAAAAAGATTTATTAAATTAATAATAATAATAATAAATAATTTATTAAAGATTTAGTAAAGGAATAAAGATAAGATAATATAATGATTATAATTATGAGAAATCTATAACTGTGTTGTCTTCCAGAAGGGCAAAATAACTATCCTTATATATTGTTTTTAGTTGTATAACTATCTTTTTACTTATTTATTAATAATAAATAATAATTCTGTTTAGAATGAAAATTCCTAAATTACTTAATACTATATTAAGTAACTAGTTTAGTAATCTTAATAAAATACATTCTTCTAGTCATTTTTTTTATAGTTTAATAGAACAACTTTAACTAATTTTCTAATTTTCTAATGAGATATTTCATTCCAAAGATTATTAGCTATACAAAATTATAGAAATTTAAAGGATTGATAAGAATTCACAAGTTAATCATATAATTAAGTAATATTCAATATACAATTATCTTGAATTATGATACTATTACTTCCTATAAATAATAATTTCAAGAATAAATTTATAAAATAATATTAAAATAATATTAAAAGAAACTAAAATAATAATAATTAAATAATAATAATAATTAAATAATAATAATAATTAAATAATATAATAAAATTAATTATTCCATTACAATATATCAAGTTATATTTGAAAAACAAATATATCAATCTTATTTATAACTTGAAAATTAATTTATATAAATTAATTATGGTATTTTTATATAAATATATATTCAAATTACTTTTAAATAATTAAATATTATTTAAAATTACAATATAGATTTTGAATTTTATTTATTATATTTCTTAAATAGTATCAAGAAATATAATTAATTGGGACATATAAACTTTGTATCTAAGTTTTTGAAGATTCTTTCTAACCATTTGAGATGAAATATGAAAATTGAAATATATGTTTTTTAGAATTTTTGTTAGTTCATTACTCATCAAATATTTCTTTGATTTTGTAATATAATTAAAGTAATGTTTCTGTGAAAGAAAAAAAGAGTTAGACAATCAATATAACCTTTTTGCTTCAGGTCATGAGTTTTTTTGAATTGTTTGGCCTATCTGTATAATGTTTTTAATAAATATCCAATTGTTTTTCTAAGAGTTGTAACCTTATAAATTCTGCTCTTCCAAAGTGTTTTAACTAACTGATGTCTCTCTGCAATTGTAGCCATGTGTAACACTTGTAATAGTTGAGCCATAATCCATTTTATGTTTATCATATTTGGTACCAATATAACAAAAAAAGTCAATCTATTAATAAGATTTCAAAAAAAAAATGTCAGTTTTTTCTACCAGAATTGTAAATAGTAATTATATCTACTTATTTAAAAAATCTAATAAGATATAAGAATCAAATAAAATATAAATAAAATATAAAATATATTGTTATGGAAAAATTACTATGAGTCAGTCTCTTTAATCTGACTCATGTCACATAATACTTGAGAGGGTTTTCTTCTCAAAAAAGATGTGTTAATTTAGCCAGAGTCTATAATACCAATGCAAATCAATTTATTGCTCTGTGTTCTAACTAGTTATTTTGCATATAGCAATTTTTTTTTACTATATAATACTGGGGGTTTTTCTCACCAAGTTCAACTTTATTAAGAAAGACAATCTTTATGCTTAAAATTTACACGGTTCGCCATAATTTCGTTCTTAAAAATACTAGCAATACACGCCTTCTCCAAAAAAAATCCTTTAACCAATGGGTTGTTTTTGAATTTCTCTATGCAACTGATCCACTTTATATCTGTAAATACTTCCATTTTACCCTTTTCATAAAGATGATTCGCCATGCAATCCCGTGTCACCCCACAGATCTAATGACAGAGTTTATCTTCAATGTAGAAGAAGCGATGATCAAAATCATCAACTCCGTAGCCACTTGGAGGACATTTTTTTGTCAGGAACGATGACATCAAGTTGACGTGACTGTGTAAATAGAGAAGTCAGTTTTCATACAGTTTACCAATCTCGAAGCAAACTAAAAATACATACAATTCCCGTCTTCTTTCTGGTATGGTGTCTGAAAAGTTCGTCATCGGCTCTTGTATCTTTGATATTAATTGTTGATCTAAGTAGCCCAATGCATCTTCAAAATCCTTGCAATCAGATTCCAGCAAAACGTTTAAGAAGAGCGGAATATTGCCGGTGATGTCTTCAATTCGATCCTTCTGCTGATTATTCATTGTTGGTAAAACGGAATTATGCTTCTCCCACCACTCTTCCATCTCCTCCTAAATTAAACATTACATTAATACACAGAAAATTCACAACGTAGGGCATCTTAGCCTTACCTTATCGAACCCTCCATAAAGTTCAATTTTCTTTTCATTGGTCTGTTTTTGCCTAAGGTGCAATACTACTTGGTTGTTTGGTGAAGAACTCTTAATATAAAAATGGTCTGCACACATTTTATCGAGGTTTCGTTTAATTCCAGTATTACTAGAATCATCCAGAGCATTCATTTGGTCTACGATAAAATATAGCGTTTCGTTTAATGATTCACAAAATTTTACGATTTGATCAAAATTTTCACAGGCATTAATTTCGCTTATTTTCGCATTATCATCCACATATGTGAGAAATAAGGCTGATTTGATGTAGTTTACTGGGTTTAAAGCCAGTTCGCGGCAATCGGGAAGATATACAACACGCCTTTCGCTCCGGAGAAGAAAGCAAGCTATTGCTGTGAGAATATGTGACTTCCCATACCCAACTGTGCCATAAATAAACATTTTCATATAACCAGTATTCGCTCTAAATTCTTTGATTTTGTCTAGAACATTGCTGAATTTTTCTTTCTTCCCATGAAGGTAAAAAAACAATCATCATTAATAGAAAACCTATCTACAGTCAAACCTGAATATAACGAAGCCTTTGGGCTAATTGGTAAAAATTGAAAAAAATTGTTTAAAAATTCATTATAAAGAATTTTTAAAAATTTATAATAAAATTCTCTTTTTATAATGAATTTTGAGTAAATTCAAAATTCAAAAATTCGTTATAACCAGCATTTTATTATAGCTTCGTTATAAACAGGTTCGTTATATCCAGGTTTGACTGTATTGGTTTTTTGATCCAGGATATGGGAATGGTAATGAAAGGAAGTTTTGAGGGTTTGAGTAAACAGCAGGATTCCCATCAAGTTTCTTTATGTCCACCATGATTTTACGGGAAGCATATAACAAATAATTATGTATGTTAAGACGATTGATGTCTAGCATCAGTATATACATTATACACACCTTTTAGTTTCATTTTTTTACTGCTTTTACTTTCATTTTCTTCATCTGAATCATCCGATTTTCTTTTTCCTGATCGATATAAAAGAATGAGATAACTGCAAATTTCTTGTTCGAGAGGTAAGACGCCAGTGGTGACAGGCGATTGTACGATAATTCGGATGTTACTAGTGGATCCGTGAAAATATTCTCCAACAGTTTCGTTTGGGAGCAACTCCTCACCTTCGTATTCTTTGATGTTTTCGGAGTACATTATCGTGTCCTTGTTTTCTCTAGTGATAGGAATATTCACACTCCATGCCTCAGTTCGTTAGCGTCAACATTAGCAAAAGTATTTTCCTTCTCTTTGATGAGTTCCTTGAGATTCCCAACGATCGTATCTTTACTAACATCAACCGGGAAAGAATTCCAAATGGCATCACCTAAAACGATACAGAAAATATAGAAACTCATCAAAAATTACTTATAAAATTATATAATTTGTAGAATTTTAATACCATTATTTCTCCGGTATCAGATAACATTATATACTGTATATAAATTACGAAGTCCCAAAAATACAGTAGTTAGAGTGTTTAAAATAAAAAAAATGGTTCAGTTCACGGCACGTAATCTGGCGTATTTATAATTTCCGTGACGTTAGTAATCTCATAAACAATAATGATAAATACATAAGGCTTGGGCTGTAATCCCGACTTACCGAAAAAACTATGTATAAGGAGACTAATAGAAAATATCGAATTTATGTGCACTTCGCAAGCAGAAAAAACTAAAAGCATTCTTATCACATCACAGTATGAAGGAAAGGCTCTCGAAACCCCACCGAAATGTTCGTTCTTGTCATACCTCAATCTGGAATGATGTCTTAACGAAATATGGAGTCTGAGACCAAATTAACAAAGATGATCCAGCATTTAAATTTTACATTGATAAAAAATATGGTCCAGTCGTAAATAACTGAGACTATGCGTTGTTAGTACATTTCGACAATCTCATATGTCTTCTACTGTCTCTGGCGGGGAGAGTTCTGGACGTTAACTACGCAATCAAAAAAATAATTGATGATATGTTGGAGAAAATTATATGCATAAGGCTCAAAATCTCATGCAATGTAAAAGTTTGTGCGAGGTGAGTATCGATGTTTCGAAACCTTTGGTTTTTCCCCCTACTGCCATTAATTTTAACATAATTTGTCAATTTCATCAGGATCTGAAGGACCATTGTAATATCCTTTGTGTTAGATGCCTACTTGGAAAATTTGAGGATCTAATTTTTTATAAAACACATTAATCGAAGGTGCAAATTTAAATCTTTTTTTTGTCCGAAGCAGAGCGAAGGACATTCTATGTTTACGATCCTTGGTAAAAATATAGATCACGTGTGGATTCTGTCCG